TGGGTGTTTTCTGATGAAGTCCCCGCTGATTATAACTGAGATAGAATCATTTGTTTTGATTAAGTTCTTTAGCGAGGCCAATATAGGCTCAATTTCCTGTGATGGAGGGCAGTAGACAGAAACAACCAGGAAAGAGTGGTTTCCTTCGATTCGCACTGTTGTGATGTTATCTGTGCTAATGACCTCTAAGGCAGGGAGTGCCTGGTCCATAAGAATGATTGCTGTTTTGGCATTTTGTGTTGCGTAGAATTTTCCGAATCTTGTGGGGAATCCTCGAAGATGATAGGGTTCCTGTGTAGATACTACATTTATATCTTTATTTTGTTCTAAATGTTCTCTTAAGTATGTAGTTGCACCCCAAGAGTGCTGTAGGTTTATCTGAAGAACTTGGATTTTACTCATAATTTATTTTTTGTTTGTATTTCTGTAACTCTCTTAAGTAGCATGCACATTTTCTGTCACGACTGTCATGATAGGTGTTTAACCCTGCATTAAATTTTACATTGATTTTTTGACAATTTACACAGATTGGGGATTACTTTTTGCAATCTTTTTTCTGATGGTCTTCAGATCCGCAGCTTGTACACTTCATATTTTCTGTAGAGTTTTTTTGGCAGAGTGGTTATAGCCTAGGCATTTGTAACATTGCGTGATTTGGAGGAATTCTCTAACATTATTTCTGGTCCATTGGACGTTTAGTTTCTTATTTCTCATTACTATTTTGAAAGATGTAGGGTCAATAGAAGCTACCCAGTGTTTCCCAAATTTTCCGTTCATTGAAAGGAGAATGTTAATATTTGCGTTTTCCAATCTTTATTCTGGGTAACTAGGTTTTCCTGTAGTTCTTCCTTATTTAGATCTTTTTTGATGTTATATAAAACTATCTTAGAGTTTGTTTTCTGCGGTCGTTTGGTCTCAACTATGGTTTTTAACTGTGTGTTTTCCTGAATGGCTTCTTCTAATAAGTCTAAATCCTCTTTTTTGTTGACATGTATTAAAACTCCTCCTTTCCTAACTGCTCTGATGCCTATGTTGATTTTTGCAGGGTTTATGTTTTTCACTATTTTGTGTTGCACTTCGTCGGATGTTAGTTTCTTATTGGGATAGACAAAGTTAACGTATTCTTGTTCCCGTTTATTATTGTTTTTTTGAGTTATTGCTCTAGAAGCAGAGAGTCGTCTTTTTGCTATACTAGCGTATGTTGGTTTTTCCATTGCTACTATCCCTTTTACATAGTCCTTAATGTTTTTGGTCTGCTCAAGCTGACCTTCTAGTTTGACTATTCTACAGTTTTTATCAGTAACAAGGTTAAGAACTTTCAGAAAGTGGTATTTGATCTTTTTACTTGCTTTTTTGGATATTTTGTATGTGGCTAATAAGCTGTCAAGTTCAGTGGCATAATCAAGCACTTCTTGTACTCTATTTAGTGTCATCTTTTGTCAGAATGTGCTTATTTGGCATTTGTGAAATGACCTGTTCTGTTGAAGAAATATCCTCATTTGTCCTGCTCTGTTGGTGGAGTGGTGGCCGACTGCTTTTTGCTGTCAGAGCATACTTGCCTCTTTGGCTCTGTATTATTACAATGAGCCATTTTGCTTTGTGCTTGTATATGAGATGGCTGCCAAGAAGCAATACTGCATAAACACAACAATTAGGCTTAACCAAGAAGAAAAAAACCATGTGCTTCAGCACTTATCACAGAAATGAATATGTAATTTTATAACAATTCACTTATTTCTGTATGTGAATTTGAGAAGTAACAGAAATACACATTTGAATTGCAAAGAATCAGAAGGTATGAAAAATGTGCAGTGGCCTTGCAGAGACTCAAACCATGGGCCTCTTGAACATGTGTTGAGTATGCTTCCAATTAAACCCTGAAGGCAAGCGGAAAGGAGGGAAAAAATATCTTATAACTCTAATTTAATAAACTATAAGAAGTATTTGCTTTTTATTTAAAGAAAAGATCTCTTACTTGTGATAAATGATTAAACCATCAATTTTTGAATGTAATTCATTAAGTAGTTATGCTACGTTTTGCTCCAAAATCTTCAACAAATTTTAACTGAATATTTTTGCTCCAGCTGCATCGTAATAAGACAATTTAATATTTTATTCTTAAAGAATCTTGCACTGTTTATATGATTAATTTAAAAATAGCACATAGAAGCCATTTCATTGAGGGGGGGAACAAAATTTTTTAAAAATATTTTTGGAAATTGGGCAATTTTATTAAATATGTACTACACAATCTTATATACTATTTTATGCTATTTTTGTAACAAATACATTTTTTATTTATGATATTTTATACGAATAAAATTGTTTTTAGAATAAATATTTATCCCTGAATGCTAAGAACTGATCTAAATGGAACATGAGTAGCAAGTGCACACACTGGGAATGCATAAAAAAGTACTAATGTAGTACATAGAAATATATACTGCGAAAAAAAAGGGCGGCAGTTCTATATCTCCCGTTCTACTCGGTCGATTGACAAAATTGAAATTGTGTTTTTCATGTCTCGAAAGCGTGATTTAGGATATGTATTAGATTTATATATAACGTTGTTCTAATATCAGAAAAAGTCCGCTGAAATAATACACCAATTTTTTTTTCCATATTTTGATTCTACGACTCAAATTATGCAAAACTACCAGATTATGTAAAAATCGCACGAGTACTTTTTGAAAAATTAGCTCTCAAAATTTTAGCTCCACAATGTTAATTCAGTTAGGTATATATTTATTAATCTCTCTTTTTTATTAATTGTATTTGATTCTTCCTTTCACATTTCGAAATTGAGGTTCATTCCAAATAAAATTCCCCCAATTTTTTATGATTTATTTTTAAAATTTGTATTTAAAATTAATTTTTATATATTTTTCAAAAAAAATTGTGAATTACAATCTATAAAATGTTTACCATATCTTAAAGCAGACGTATTTCTAAGCATGCCTGCAAAGTGCAGTTCCCCAAGTGAATTATTTTTGCCGAAAACTGAAAAAATTGCAGGAGGATAAATTTTTGAATTTCTCTGTAAATTTCACACCAAATTTTACAAAATTTAATATCTAGGCATAATTTGAGTCGTAAAATCAAAGTATGGAAAAAATGGTATTTAATTTCAGAAAAAGTCCAATTTTGTGTCAAAATACCTATGTTAGAATAGTGATATATATAAAACTAATATATATCCCAAGTCGAGCTTTCGAGACATGAAAAATGCAATTTGAATTTTGTCAATCGCCCCAGTAGAACAGGAGATATAGAACTGTCTCCCCTTTTTTTTGCACAGTGTACATTCTATAAACACAGCTGTAATATGCACCAGTTTAGCACGCCATATAGAAAATACCTTGTAGCACATGGGAATGTTTTGAAAAATACTAGTCTTGCACGTTTTAATGTACATTCTCAGAATACAGTTGCAACATGCATCCACTTCAGCACATCATGTAAAAAGTACTTTACAGCACATGCTGGGAATGTTTTGAAAGGTATCTATATAAAATGTTTTAAAGTATGTTCTAAGAGCATGGTTGTAACCTGCACCACTTAAGTACATCATGCAGAATGTACTTTATCATACATGTTGGGAACATTTTGAAAAGTACCAGCATTGTACGTTTCAACGTATGTGCTAACAAGATGATTGTAACACACACCACTGTAGCACATGCAACATTCTAAATGCACAGAACACCATCAGAAAATTAATGACGTTTTCTCAAAATTCTGGTGTTACTTGGGTAGTGACAATGAAGACAGCTGAAGGTAAGGTAAAATTTTTCTTCATTCATTTTTAGAAGTTTTCCAATTCATCTAGGCAATAATTGTTTAATGAAGAAATTTTGAATATGCACTACATGAAACCAGCTGCTGATATTTCACTGAATATATTCAGACTAAAATTACACACCCTACAGCATTTAACATTATCCAAAATAGGCCATTTTAAAAACAGGAAAACACATTTATCATATGCAGAAATAAATGCAACTCAACATAGATAAATCATAGTATCAAATTCACAAAAGAGCATATTTCTTCAATATAACATATTAGATATTCAATGCAACATATTATAGATGATAATTAAGGCATTGCTATCATCTCCAATGATGGAACTTAGATTGCTCTATGCAGCATTCACAATCTTCTCATGAACTGCATTTTTAAGGCTGTCAATGTCAAGGGGATATGAATGAATTCTTGAGCTTTTCCCCCATTAAACATTTGCTGCAGTAAACTTCATGGAAATCAATTACAGATCACTAAACTACGGAAAAAGTTGATCAGGAAAATCAATAGACAATTTTATGGAAGTATTTTGTAGAGTCATTGGGTTGATTGTAAGCAGAAAAGATGAAAAATATGCAACCGCCTTTGCCGGGAATCGAACCACGGACCTCTGGAATACCGGCCCAGCATGCTACCATTACACCACGAAGGCACGCTAGGGAAGTGGGAGAAATACCTTATAATTTGATAGCTTAAATTTTCACTCAGCTCTACCTGGCATGAAGTCTTAAAACAGAAATTCATTAGGAGATTGCAGATGTTATAAATGACCCTCAACTGATTCATGGAGGATACTTCCAAGACATTGCATTGAAGTAATGAGACATGTTTAATGAATCCATGGCAATGACTTACCTAACAGTGTTTCACTGTATTTAGTGTTGAGTACAATATGTGTCAGGCTACTTTGAAAATGAGTAACTGCACCTTGTATATTAATCATTTAAACAAATTAGCATCAAACTATTGTTAAATTCAATTTTCTGAAAGACACAATTTAGAATTTTCAAATAATATTTAGAATTTATATGCAAAAATGATACAGGTAGTGTGGTTGATATGATGCACAAGACTGAAAAAACACAGAAACTAAATTCTACTAAATTCTGATAAGTGCTTTTTAAATCTATTTCCTTTAATACTATTTTTTTTTTCAAGGTATACAACAAAACATTAATTAAAATTTGAAAACTTACCTTGCAAATGTTATGCTTGGTGAGAGGGAGCTATCAAAAATAGAACTTTCAGCTTGTTCATTTTCACATCTGAAGCAAGGAGAAAGGCCTAACTTATATATCCTAATAGTTATACCCATATCAGATAAACGAGATAAAACAGCTTCTTCATTTGCTTGACTTATCAACACTCGAAGAACAGTCAAAACCATACACATCCATTTGTGCATATTGGACAGCATGTTCTAGAAACATTAATGCAAAGTTAATCAATGTTTTAAAAATTAAGTAAAAATAAACATGCCCCCAAATACTATTACTTACGAACATAATAAGTATGAATTCTGCCCTGTATCACAAAAATTGCAATAAAGCAAGTCTTCTGAAACACACATCTATGCTTAAAAATATGCCATCAAGTATTTTAAAGTAACAGCATAATGAAATTTTGATGTGAAAAAAGAAAAACTTGCCACATCCATTTTTACTTGTACTTCAAATGGAAAATCTTCAATACACAAATGGTAACAAATACAACACATTAAATGTAACACTTAAGGAAAAAAAAAAAAAAAAAAAAAAAACCCAGTTTTATGACAAAAGTTTTTTATAACGCCACAAACTTCTTTTAATTACCAAAAAACATACATACAATTCATATGGAATAAATATGAATAATCTGTTAACTTACTAAATCTTTTGGTTGTGAAAAGAGAGCTTTTAAAAGAATGTCAACAGGCCTAAAAACATTGGAAGCTACTGTTTCCAAAAGTTTATGTAAAATGTTCAACTGAAATTGATTTTCAATCTGGATCTGAAACAACAAAAAATATTGTGGACTCTTCCTTGACTTTTATTTAACCAGGGCAATTTTACACATGAATAAAAGCATATATCACACTTCTAAATATTAAAAAACATATAAAGTAAGTAAAATTACATATAAGAAAAAGAGTTATTAGAACAGTTACAAACTGCATAAGAACATGCAGTAAAACCAGTCATGACCACGATCTCACCATTTTCAGATAACAGATCCCACATAATTATAGGAAGCCTTATAGGCAATGCATTTGAAAATGTCTACAAGCACTTTTCAGAAAAAATAATGAAACTTAATCTATAGTACATGTTTGGTTTTATTTATTAGATTACGGTAAAACACTGGAGGGCTATCTGTTTAAGAGAAGGTATGCCTTCATGGAGGACTTTCTAAGGGTAAATGGCTCATATACACATTACACATGGGCAAAACCACAGAAAGCCCATGCAGTTAGCCTATTTTCCAGAATTTGAACCTTGGACCGAACTACCAGTGTTCAATGACTTTACTGCTCAGCCACTGATGGGACTAGAGCTACAAAACATAAATATTATTTAAATTCATCAAACTGCCAAGCAACTCCAAAATTGTGTCATTAGCAAAGGTTGTCCAACTGACAAGATTATTGCGTAAAAGTTGGCAAAAAAGTTTGAGGACAACATCAAAATGCAGGTTTAAGCCTGATCATTTGGTACCATGGTTTATTAGAAAGAGATAAGCAGCCAAAAGCGAGCTAATGTACATCAGATCTTGCTTTGAATACATCAAGATTTTTGGTAATAAGAGACATCAGTTCTCTACAAAAATGGTCAAATATTATCCAGCTATATATATATTTTCTGCCCCAGCAAATCTCTAGGACACACCACAAAACAAGGATTATATCCACAAAAGGTTCTACCAGGCATCTAGTAGGATCTATTCAAAGTTCCTACAAGAGCCCCAAATATTAAATGGCGAGATAGCACTACCTGAGTTAGATCATTTTTGCAATGAATTGAGGAAAAAATGCTTAAATGCTTATCACTTGCAAATCATAACAGAGTGGCATCATGCGATGGCAACACAAAATTTCATACATCTGTTTGAGACTCAAAGAAAGGTACAGGAGTATGGCTGAGAGATCATACCAAATCATCATATGCAATGATTATTGCTCCAGGAGAAAAACCGTCTTATTTCAGTTATTAAATAATTTTCTTTAGGGTCACAAATATGACAATATAGAAAATTTTACTAAAAACTGGTTCCACAACAGAGAAGAGTTTTACCAGAGAGGAAGTATTGTCTAATAAAAGGCTGAAATAAATAATAATGGAAAATCTTGCAAACTGAAAACCAATATACATGTTCGATAAATTATTTCACTAAAAATGCAAGACCATTTTCAAAGATCCAATATATTTAAACAAATTTTCAGGTCACATAATTTTTTTCATTCTTCTTTGAACACAAATTCATTTTGCAAAGTAAAAATAAATGCAATTCCAATTTTTGTCACACTTTTTTTGATGTTATCTCTTTAGGAAAAAAGAAGTATTTTTATAAATAAATTTCATACGCAAAGTAAAAATAAGTATTTAAAAAAAGATCACGCTTTGATTAGAACCGCGAAACTTTTGTCTATAATGGCAACACATTATTGCTCTGCCATGCAATACTTTCGCATTTACATGAAATTAATAATATATATTTTACTTAGACCGTATTTTCTTTATTTCTGAAGGCAAGCTGCAAAATGAGATTGCTTTTAAAGTACTCTATAACTGTGTGAAGTTTGGGAAAACCATACACTGTACTTGTACAAAATAATTTAACAATGGTTATATAATACAGTACAGTACAGTACAAAGTCTGTAATCCAGATGTCCATTATCCGGAATGATCTATGATCCAGACCTCAAAGCCACAAACTTTTTTTTGTATGCTTTACGCATGCGTGTAATGCATTTATGCATGGGCGTTTAATGGGCGTTTATGCATGTGCATTGGGAGGATGTGCCACCAGATATGTAAAAACATGCTTGGCATAATTTATGGCTAGTTACCATATTTCATAGTGAGGATGATTAAGATGATAGCCACGAATTTGAAGGTTTTCAGACATCACAAACTAAAGGTGAAATTTTCCAGTTATTGGATTTTGTAAAGAAATGCAGAGAAGCGGTAATAAATGAAGATGATATAACAGAAGTTTTTCATTGCAACGACAATGCCCCAATCATCAATCAATTAACGGACAGCAAAATCTGTAGCATGGTTCTAGATCCAGAAAATACCGCTTCCGATGGTGAAGAAAGTGACAGAGAGATTATTGAAAATGAAAAAATTTCGATTGACAAGTTAGTCAGTATTCTCGACACAGCAATTACAGGACTTGAACAGTGGAAATTTGAACTTAACAAGAAATTATGTCTGTTTATAGAATTAAAGAGAAAGTATTAGCACAAGAAAGGAAGCAACTTAAACAACTTACATTGAAAGAAATGTTTAATAAAGTAAACAAATAAATATTAAATCTTTTTTTTTTTTTGTAAATTTTGATACCCTTTAGATCATAATTGCATAATTTCTGCATGCCATCTTACCAGATTTAAATTGATGATTTTTAATCCGGAAAAACCCCTAATCCAGAATGGCTGAAATTCCGACAAGTCCGGATTACAGACTTTGTACTGTATATGATTTATATGCAAACTAAATCTATTATCAACCGAAAATAAATATACAGAAGTTTATTTATCATGTGAGCATTTTTCATATTATTTGTTTAAAGAATAATTATTTAAGAAAAAATTCTTCTGCAAATAAAAAAATAATGTGCAGAAAAGGATGACTTGTCTTCTGCTCTATAAGTAAAATTTGTACATTAAGAATAACGACTTAGAAAAAAATATTCATTTACTCAAATTTTTGTCGCACATTATTTTTTATGTCTTCACTTAGCTTTTTATCCTGTGGGACAGTTAAAACGTATAACTCAATTTCAAAAACACATACACACACACACACACACACACACACAAAAAAAAAAAAAAAAAAAAAAAAAAAAAAAAGAACTGCATATTCAGTTTGGCTTTTGTTAGGAAATGGACAAAAAATCTCATCACTAATAACACTATCAACAAGGCACCAAAGGAAAACTATTTTCTAATAAAAGAGGAGTTAGACAATGCAAACAACTAACCCCAACACTACAATCAAAGTTAGTCCATCTGAACTGGCTTACCCTCAGACTGCTTTAATCACACGAAGCTGGTATGAGTAGAACATAATAAATAAGGTTACACTAAAATTTTTTAAACACTTTCATTAATTTTTCTTATTTTGGTGGTCCTTTTTCTGATTCTACAATTTAATTTTCCTTAACTTAAACAGTGCTTCAACTCTAAAGGACTTACCAAAATTAAAGGTTAAGATAATAGTTTAAAATAATTTTAGCTGGCAGCACATTATATTCAGCACACTGCTTTACAGCTCCTTTACCTTCTCCTTTACTAGTATTAAAAAATTACTTTTATTTGCCTCACAGCACAGCCTGGAATTTCATCATACTCCCAATGAGAATGTCTATATGAAGAAGACATAAACATACAGTCAGAATTTGGCAAAAATCATGAAAATAAGGTGCTATTCACTTGCAATCATAAATATAATGATAATAAATTTGACAAGGCCTTTCGTAAAATTCTAAGCAACTCCCAAATCTTTACAATTCTGAAAAGCAACCATATGAACATAATTCAGACCAAGGCTTGATTTCTAAAATTAGAAGTGCCATATGAATGCTGCTGAGGAGTGAAGAACAAATTTATAAACTAACAACATAGAAATTAAAAATACTGATTAATTAAGTAAAATGAAAATCTTATATCAGTAATAAGTAGTCAAATCATAAAACAATACATAATAAAAAATTAAATGCAATTATTAAAACATGTGAAAGATGAATAAATTAATAATAATATACAGTATCTGTACATACAATAAAAGGAAGAGTCTGGCTGTGTGTGTGTGTCGTTCTTTCATGCTGAAGTAAGCTAATGGACCCAGGGCTATGCAATTTGGTACATAGGTGCACCTAGACAAGAGCCAGTGCCCCTCGAAATGATTTTTTCAAAATTTGAATGAGATTTTTTTTTTTATTTTTATGTTTTTTTTTTTTTTTGATGAAATTGCATCAAATTGATAATCCTCCCTCATTATATCAGCAATAATAGCATGCAGCCATTGTTGCTGATATATCACTGTTTCCACTCAGAAATATGAGTGTGATAATTCTGTAAAGTTCTTTAATTTAGTATTTCTCTTGGGCACTGGATGTTTGTTATGAGAAGGTAATGGGAAGTTGGTTAATTTATTTATTAGGATAAATAATATTTGTGTTAAGTGATATTGCTTATTTCATGGTAATTTTTTTATTAAGTTTTGCATTGTAAAATTCTGTGCAGTTTTTAAATTTAATGTTTGGTGTTCCCTTTAGAAATTTTTCTGGTACATTTAAAAGCCAGATGAAGGCTGGCTGCATAGCAGTTAGTTCAGGATAAAGGGCAGATACATATTTTGAATAGTGCTCTCTGCAGTTAGATAAACTTGCATTTCTTATTATGGTTTTAATCCATTTAAAGCTTTCTTGAATAAATGGGTAGGGGAAACAAAAATATTTCAGTATGGGGAGAGAGAAGTTCTTGTCTATCTGCTTAAACTTTTTTCCACTGTAATCGAGACATGCATCACTGTCAATGGCCAAAAAGAACTAAAAAAAAAAAAAAAAAAAAAAAAAAAAAAAAAACATTTTGTGAAACTATTATAGAAGAATTAAGTGACAGTGCTGTCATAATTCAAAACGTATTGGACCTTAGGTAATAAAAAAAAAAGCAGAGTGTTAAAGAAAAGGATTCACCTGAGATCACATGGTGTGAGGCTAGTGAAGTGTAACATGCATTTGCAAAATTTGTTGAAAAAGCTAAGAAATGTAATTCTGGACAAGT